ATGTAGTGAAACACTTGGAGAAGCCTAAGATCTGCAAACATCCTTCGCTTTCTTTCTTTCTTTGTAATTCTTTATGCCAACTCATGTGCCAGGCAGAGAACTTTGAACTCAATGACAGGCAAGCACAGCCAAGGGCTAGTCTAAGGCTCCAAGTCAAACATCTTTCCCTGGCAGAGTCCACTGCCTCTGGGAAGTTTGTGGTGGGTGGAAACCATGCCAAGCACCCTTTCCCTCTGGTCATCCCTTCCTGAGACTTTAAGAACCAAGCACAAGTAAGCCACGAGCATACGTCCAAATGTGCACCATCTCTTCCAAGTGGCACCCTGCTTCAAGGTCTTCCAAGCAGGGGACTCTGGAACACAGCATCCCATGCCCAGCTCTGGCAGTGCCATGCCCATCAGCCCCTCTCCAAGCCAAGTTCATCTTAATTAGAAACCTCCTGACATCCACTTCTTCCATGAAGAATTTCCTGACTAAGAGGGAACAAGTAGCAACCTCTCCTTGGCCCATTTCACCAGCCCTCAGACTTCTGGAAACAACACTTTGCATGGTAACTGACAACTACTTTTTAACCAGCAAAGCAAGGACACATTTATGTGCAACCTCGGGAATGAGATTTTTTCTTCTAGGAGAAACTTCCCTGAAGACTGAAGCTTAACTTGGTCCACACCAATCCGAATTCAGGCTGCATTTAATGAGCACTTGGCCTGCAGACCGTTCCCAAGCTTTACTCTCAAAACCACCTACAAAGTGGGGATTATGGCTTTCTCCATTTTCAAATGAGGAAACTGAGGCATGGAGTTGCAGCCAGTCATGGAGCACAGACTTCCTGCAAGGAGAGGAACCACTTACCACTCAACACAATCATCCTTAACCTGGTGGCTATTAAGTTCTCATGTCTTTCTTCCCCTTCCTGCTGCCAGATCCCGGGCTATCACTTTCTACCACTGTCAGGAGCCCCACCTCTGCAGTCATTTCCTATCAGCAGTGAGCAGTAAATAGATAACTAGACCACTCAGAAATGAATGCACACACATTCATGGTGGGAGGGGTCCCCAGTGCCCCTCCCAGCCCATGGGCACAATTCCTCCAGGTGAGTTGAAAGGACACTTTTGGAGCATCTACTCCATACCAGGCACTGCTATGGGTGCAGGAGACACAAAGACAAATGTGACCCAAGTTCTGTAAATCCAGGTCTCCTGAGTTATGAGGGTTCCAGCACTGTCCAGGGACTTGCCCCTCCAAGTGAGCCTGGTTAGAAATGTAATCTCTCAGAGCCCCCCAGGAATCGCCCAGAATAGGAACATGCATTTCAACAAGTCACCCCCCCACCCCAGGAGGATTTGTGCACACATGCTGGTCTAAATAGCTACAACACACCCCAAGTTGGACTTACAGGTATGAAAGGCACTATCTCATTATACAAAGGACTAAACTATGTTTCCAAAAGTGTTTTCCCTTCTTCAATCCTATTGCCTGTCTCTATTGGGATATATCTGCCCAGTCCCTACCCATGTACTGCTTGTACGCTCTTTAGATATGATTTAGGAGAAATAGAAATAATGAAAAGTCATATCAAAACTTCCACCCACTGTGCACCACAATGGAAATGCTTTCTGTGTCATGTGCTGTTTCTAGAAATAATGCACCGCAGTTAGTCGTCTTCCTAGGTTTAGATTTTAATGTTTACAGGTGTGTGGTTCGCACCTGTAGGTACAACCTTTCACAGAGTCTAGACCTAGCCAGGGACATGGCCCTCAGGCCACACAGCATGAGCAAAGGCATATGCCATGGCCACACGCATAGTCAGGTAGGTCCTGCAGTTTTGCTAGTTCAAAGACGTCGTACTCATTTTCATTTGGGGCAGCTCTGCTAACTCCTACAAAGCCTAAGTGTTGAGAGACCCATCCTCTCCCTCTGTCCTTGCTCCCAGTGCGCCTCAGGGTAAACTGGTCCATCTTTCTATGGCATACTCACTGGAAAGAGACCCCACTGGATGTCAGGAGCCAGCAGCCCCTAAGAGGCTCCCAAGTCTAACTCGAAGGCTATGCAGGGTGACTGAGCAAGACCTCCCTTGCAGAACCCACCAGAGGACAGTACAGGGCAGCCAGGACAAGAGCAGAGTGGTTCGAGTTGGTGGGGAGTGTTACTAACCCCCAGCAATGTCCCTACTCAAAATCACCCAAGAAATGTAAGGCCTTCACGCACCAGGCCAGACTCAAGGAGGCCTGAATCAAGGTGCAAATGAGTTCTGAGGACTTTCTAAAATTCTCACTGCATTAAACTCAGACCAGTGAGGGAGCCATTCCTCCCAGTCCAATACAATTACTCACAGGACTAATGAAGGCTCTTGTTTTTATTCCCCCCAAGAACGCCCTGTAGGAAGAAGGGAAGCTGGAAAAAAAGTATCTTCAGGCAAAAGATTTTTCAAAAAAACAAACTCGCTGCTAAAAATTTGAGGTTATAGATTCACGGGGAAATGTTATTCAGTTGTAATTCTAGACTATCATTTATTCCAAATAATATTAATATATATGTAAACATAAATCAGATTCAGGAGGTGTCTTCTCAGATGCTGACGATGGAGGTAATATTTACAACTTAGACATGCATTTGTTAAGACTGTAAATTAAGCACTCCAAGTTCTTATAGCAAATTTATTTTTACAGAGAAGCATATAAATAAAGGAAGTTTAGCAAGGAGTAAGGACAGACATTAGCACATTGTTTCAATAAACTGGGTAATTTATCTTCTGCTAGTTCCTACTAGGCCTTGTTGAGCACAATCAATTCCCGTGATTTACAACTGTTTTAAAAACTATATATATATATAGAGAGAGAGAGACTTGTTAGTTACAGAATATGTATCTAAGCCAAAAAAAAGAAAAATGCAAACACTTAAGCAAAACTCCAACCTTAAGAACTATGAAATTGTGATTGCTATTGGTAATATTTTCAATACTCTGTTCAATTTTAATCCATCAGACTTGACAGCCCCCAAATTAACATTTTTTCCTCTTCTTCCCACAAATCTTAACTCTGAAAGAAGGCTAACCTTTCAAATAGGTTCTTTCTCAAATCCTACTAAACACAAAAAACTCAAGGAAATCCAAAGTACTAAAATTAACAAATGTACAGTGTTTTGCGTGAGAAACACACACACATTCAAACACTACCCTGTAAACCTATTCACCTTCTTAGGAGTTGTCACAGAGTCTAATGTTCACTTCAGAAAGGAAATCTAAAATCACCACAGAAGAAACATATAATTGCCCTATATACTTTGCCCAAAGTGGTCCGGACAAAGAATTACCCTAAGACCCCATTGTCTGACATTCTGGGTACCACTGACAGAGTTGCAAGCTGGATCCAAACCTAGCAGAGTTTTGCAAACTTCAAGTTGCACCAGGATACTTTTTTAAAACAATGAAATAGAAAAGAATAAAAATTACCAGAGTGCTGGAAGTACAGATAGAATGTGCAAGACCCTGGGTTCGAGCCCTAGCACCTCAAAATATTTATCAGAATACAGGGTAGGTAGAGAATGAGTAGTTTCACCAAAACTTTCATTTCATCCTATTTACAAATGTGTCCCCATGCATTTAGTTCTTACTACAGATTGTGGTCAAAGAAGCTTGAAAACCACAGCCCTGGGGCACACAGTAGTGTGTGGGTTCCAGCAGAGGCTTCCCCAAGACCAGGCTTCTAGAAATTCTGCTGACAGCACAGATAGGCACCAACAAGGCTCCTGCATCCTCCCACAAGAGGGACCAATAATCTCACCAGAGACCTGGGGACAGCCACAGGCCACCTTCACTGAACAAGGGGCATTTTTAAAGTTAACCTTCGTTGCAGGTGGGAATAAGAAACCATGTTTTTAGGATAACCTTTATAAATTTAAAAATCAGGATGACATGTGGCCAGGGCAGCCCTGATGCTCAGAGATGAGAAATCCTGGGCGAATCTGGAAAAACCTGTCAACAACAGGATGGGGTAGGATGGTCCAATGGCAGTTAGCCACAGGGTGAGGGAAAGCAGTCATTTACCCCATCTGTGAGGGTGACCGCCATGGCAAAAATGTTACATCATCACACTCTAATCTCAATAGGACTGGATGATTCCAAAAACTGAAATGATAAAGTCACCCATTAGCCACGTGATTTGCACCAAAATACAAAATGTGGTAAATATTTGTACCTAAGGACAAAATAAACCTCAAAGTGAGATGCGAGGGCAGATTTAAAACAGAAACTTAAAATAATGTATTGCCCCATTCGCCTGCCAAAATGTTACTATTTACCTCAAAGACATTCTTCCTTTAAAATACACTATTTTACTAAAAATACAACTATTAATTCAATAAATATTTAAGCACTATTTTAGGTATTACAAACACAGCAGCTAAAACAAACTCCCTTTTTTTTTTTTTGGTGTTGGGGATTGAACCCAGGGCCTCAAATGCTAACCACAGGTTCTACTCCCAACCCCCAAAGTCCAATTTTGACAGTCTTTTCTTTCTGTGCAAATATACAGATCTCATTAAGATAACCCTGAATACAGAAAATTGTACTCAGATTTTTTTCCACTTTTAACATTAGTTTTCCCTTATGATCAAATGTTCCTTGAAAACACCATTTTTATTAGCTACATAATATTCTAAATTGTAATGATACTGTAATTCACCAAACATTTCCAAAAACTTACCATAAAACCTTTAAAAAAAAAAAAACACAAAAACACTCAAGACATATTTGAATATAACATATCAGATTTACAACCTTAAGGGAAAATACAATCTAATACAATCTTACCAATCTCAGAGACCCCAAGATGCCTCGCACCCAGTTTGCCACATCAAGGTCTAATTTGTGAACCTCCCTTTATAAAGCCCACTCGTTCTTTGATGGAAGAGAACATTGTCTGCGCAGAACAATATGTTTTCATTTCGATTTCCCTTCTTTTCAGGAAAGGAAATGTTTGCACTTCAAAAGCGTTCTTTGAAGAGCAGTCCTCTGGTGCAGGCACAGCCAGGTTGGGAGTTACTGGGCTCAGCGGGATGCTCAGACTCTGGGCGGCTGCCGATTAGAGTCACTGTCAAGGCCAGCTCCTTCAAGAAGAGGGTCTGGGGCAGGAGAAGAACAAAGAAACACATGGAAAAATACTAGAGGCTTTTGATCATGACCTTCAGAGGCCCCTTTTTGCATAGTGTAGGTTTACAGTTCAGGGAAACTGAGGCACAAAGGATTGTGGAGGATGGATGTCAGCCACGAACAGAAACAAGACTCACTGAGCAAAGATCCACTTCAGCCCAGGAAAAAGCGGAGCCACCTTGCTTGCTGGTGGTAGCAATGGGACAACTGAAACAGACGGAACAGAGAAGCAAGATCTGAACTACATTGCCCAGAAGGTCTGAAACTCACTAAGCTAAACTCAAGCTTGAGTTTGAGAGCACCATCTTTAACATTCAGTTTAGAATGCTGCCTTTTATTTCTTCAGTAAACACCACCTCCCCCAACAGCAGGGCCAAGAGGCAGACCCAAAGACAAGTCTAACAACTGTATGAAATAGCCAAGGCGTACCCAGCAGAAGGCTGGGGCCACAGCCCTCAGACAGACCTCATGCACACCCTTTGCCCCTGGCAAGTCCAGGAAGCAAGGGGTACAGAGCAGACAAGAGAAAACCTGCAACACTGCAAGTCTCAAACAATTCGGGGTATTAAATAATGATCTCTGCCCTTCCTCACCCCGGAGATATGCATCAGGACAGAGGCACCACTAGGGTAGTTAATGCGGCCCACAGAGGTGGGCAGCCATCCAAGGGGTGAGCAGGGGTGGGAAAGAAGCCTGAGGACTGGACTGTGCGGGGCACCTGCCAGGTGTGGGGGCAGGTACAGGGCCCACAGGTCTGGTGGCCAGCTAAAGAAGTCTTCCAACCACCTTTCTCTCAAGCCCTTTACCTGGCCAGGAGCTAAGCCTCTGTGCAGGAATTATGGGTGACTAACTTCCTCCTTCCTTCTCTTCGGGGCAGTTGCCAACTTTTTTCCAAAGCACATTCTCATTCTTAGAAACACTTTTTCTGAAAGAGGCTCAAAAGGTTCAAAAATAAACCAGACCTTCTTTGAAAGATGCTCCCTCCCCACCAACTTCTCGAAAGATATGTATAGCTATAAAGGACGTTGTGTGGACAGGTCCACACTGAACATGGACTGTGAATTAGATAATAAGTCTATCCCATTGGTAAGCTTCCTGATTTCGATATCATACTGTCAGGCTAATACTGCGTTGGCCTAGCATGCATGAGGTCCTGGGCTCCAGCACCAAAAAAAAAACCAAACGAAGATGTCACATCCTTGTTCTTATGAAATAAAAGGGCACTATGGCTCAGAAAAGCATGCACATGCACGTGCATATAGAGAGAAAGAACAAAAAGACAAAAATGTAAGCCACTTTGCAACTTCAAGTTTGAAATGTTATCCAAAAAATAACTAAAAGAGAAAAGGAAAGAAGAATACAGAAAGCGTGGAAGTTTCCCTATCTCCACCCATCAGTCCTCCCTCCTAGAGGGCGCCTGAGGGTACTCAGGGCCTATAGTCCAAGGCTCCTGGCTTTCTGGCCCCTTCCTCATCCCAGGGGAAGGTAGGAGGCACCTCTACCACCTGGATATGCTAAGACCCCAGGAAAGCACTCCCAAGAACCCTTGCATTTCCTGGCTGACCACTCCAGCCCCAGGCCTTCTGAGGGTGTCAAAATCCTGTAAGGAAGGGGTCACTTCCCATGTCACCACATGGGTAGAAAACAGCAAAGAGGAGGGAAACACAAGGACACAGAGGACTACAGCTGCCAACTGGCCTCAAGAGGCCAGAGTATAAACAGTCTCTGTTCCTACAGGACCCCTTGTGAAGGGCTCTCTTTTCCAGGAAAGAGGTGGAGCTCAGGGGTGACTGGGTGGGGTAAATCACACAGGCACCCTAGGGTCTGGGGCAGGAAGTGCCATGTCCAGCCAGACGCTAGTGATATGAATGACAAACTTCTGACCCAGAAAGAATGCAGCCCAGTCTCTGCCACACATAAGGCTCCTGTGTCTGGCCCCCAGCCCAACACAGCTACCCCAAGACCTCCGGCTCCAGCTGTGCCAGGAACATCTGCATTGAGGCTCAGAGAAATCAGAGCAAGGTGTGGGGAGCACTCCAACTTACTCCCAGACAAAGGCCAGTGCCTATGGCCAAGACCAATAGCCAGGGCTGCACTGCCATCTCTGTGTGCACCTGGCTTCCAGATACTTCCAGAGGGAGGCTGAAGCCCAGGCACAGCTGCTGCCCACAGCCCTGCCACACTCAGGGGTTACTCTGGTGCCAGGCCACTTATTACTTCTCTCTGTGCCCATGGGCAACCTGTCTCTATCCATCATCAGTCAAAACACCAGGACTAGCCTCCAGGAGGTTGTGAGAGTTCAAGAAAACACATCAAGTGCAAAGTACACAGTGAGCTATTTAGTAGTAGGCACTTGGATTATTTATTTCATCCAGTCCCAGGGCCTCCTCCTTCCTTCCTATCCAGGGTAAGACTGGCTGATGGCACTTGGTAGGTAGATATGATGATACAGAGAAAGGGGCTATTTCCAAGCTAACCTTAACAGATCAATTCAAGCCCCTCACAGGCAGGATGATGACAGTCACAAAAGCATGAGGAAATGTTCAGCTCCCTTCCCTTCTCAATGCTGCCTCCCCTCCCCCAGAGACATGCCCACTAAGAAGAGACCCTGAGACCATCATCCCACAACCAGGGTGGCACTTGAGTCCCAAACAGTGATGACTTCAAGAGAAATCTAGGTAGTCAGGACCAAAAGCTGTCATTCTTCCCCACAGACCCACGACCAGATGGAATAGGTACATTGCTGGCAGGTGCTCCTGAGGCCCAGCTGCCCCTACCCTCGTCTAATTTAGACACAATCTCAAGGAAATGGAACTACATTTTAATGCCACAGCAAAATGGGAGAGCAAAGTGAAATTGTTAGGAAAATCATTTTTCTCCCACACCTAAATCAAAGAACTGCCAATTACAAAGCCAGGCACACTGGTGTGCTCCTATAGTCCCAGCTACCCAGGAGGCAGAGGCAAAAGGATCCCTTGAGCCCAGAAGTTCAAGACCAGCCTGGGCAACACAGTGAGATACATAAATACATAAATTTCTCAAATGACATAAAGACAATTACCAAGTAAGCAATATGGAAAAAAAATTCTATGTGGCTATGGGAAACATCTTAGAAAACACATCCCTACCAAAAAAAGGTGGAGCCCACTCTAGGGATTGTCTCCTTTTTTGAGAGGGGTTACAGCATCTTGTTTGATCCCAAGTTTGGGGATTTGGGTCATAAGCTCAGGCTGACCATATCAAGCAGAAGCCACACCCAGGGTCACCACTGCTAAATGGTCTCTGTGACTGATGTGAGCTGGGACCCACTACTAAACAACTGAGCAAACATCTGGTTGTCCTTGTAGTCAGGAACCTTATCTGATGGGACATCCTGAACCAGCACTGCAGGAAGAATGTGACAAGGTCAGAAATAAAACTGCATGCCCTCTGCGCCCCCAGAGAACCAGCTTCCAGACAGAAACTAGCTGTGTGGACTCGGCGCCTTTGCTCTCTGAAGGAACACCATGGACTTCAGCTTTCTAGCTTCGCTATGGGAGGCTGAGAAGGCCAGGCTTCTGTGATCTACAAGTGTGTAAGGTTCAGAAAGTCTCAATCACGTTCCGGAAGCTGCTCACAGAGAGAGGGGCAGAGCCAGGAGTCCAGACATCCACAGGCAGTGCTATTCCCAGCCTCGGTGCCACCTCCCCTGGCGTCCTCAGGACAGCGGTATCCAGGCCACACTGAAGCTGTGAAGGGTGGAGTCTCTCCCCTCAGTCATAGCCTGTCCTGACCGTGCACAGAGAGACCCCTGAATGCACCATCTGTAGGTCCTTACTGTTCACAACAACAACCAGAGAAGAAAAGCCCAAAGCAAGCGCTGGGTGGAGCAGGATAGGTGAACGTGCAGGCAGGTCTTTCCCGCAGCCTGTGGGAGGACTGAATCCTGACCAGTGCGTCTGGAAAGAGCATCCCCACTCTGCCAATGCTGCAATGAGCCAATGCCTTGGGAGAGAGATGAACATAGTTAGAAGTTCACCAAATGGTTTCCCCATTTGTGCCCGTTCTCCTAAAGATTCCAAGGGAGAGATGTACTAAACCCTTAAACCTCAAATTATGGCACACATCCAGTTATTTTCAAGGCTGCTTTGGACTTGGTGGGGGTCTGTATTATGAAGGAACAGAAAGAGAAGCCCCTCAAGTTTACTGAGGCTAAAAACTTACCACAGAAGACGCACCTCACTGGAGGAGACCAAAACCTGAGGTAGGCAGAACCTTGCCCTGCGATCCTGACCCAAGCCTGGGAAATCCAAGAGCATTAAAATCCCAACTTCTGAGGCAATCCCATCCCATGTGTCAAGTACACCACCAGGCTGGAGGGGGTGGAGAGCCTAGGAAGGTGGCAGGCAACAGAGGAAACAGCTAGAAGAACACCCCCAAGCTCTGATGTTGGGTCAATGGAAAGGAAGCTAGCACTCTGAGGCAGGTGGCTGCCAGGAGGATCATCTGACCAAGCCTGTCCCTTGGGGTGGGGAGATCTTAAAAAGTCATTTATTGTGCCAGGCATAGTAGAGCACAGCTATAATCCCAGCAACTGGAAAGTGGAGGCTTGAGGACCTTGGGTTTGAGGCAGCCAGGGCTATATCAACCATCACAGGGAACACTGACTAATCCTGTTCAGTCTACCTTTATTTATTTTTGACAGCAATGGGTTTTGAACTTAGGGTCTCACACTTGCTACGCAAGCTTGAGTCACTCCACCAGCCCTTTTTTTTGTAATGGGTTTTTTTAAAAAGAGATAGTCACTCAAGAACTATTTGCCTGGGCTGGCTTTGAACAGCAATCCTGATCTCTGGCTCCTGAGTAGCTCCGATTACAGGCGTGAGCCACCAGCACCGGGCTGAGTCTACCTTTAAAATGTATCCAAGATGTGCGTGTTACGGGTGTGACTCAATAGTAGAGCAAATGCTTAGCGTACAACAGGCTCTGGGATGAATTCCCTAGTCCCTCCCCCTCTTCCCCCCCAAAAAAAATCACCCAGGCCCGAGGGACCAATGACACAGAAAACACTTAAGAGTCTCATCTGTAGGTCTTGCTTCAAGTACCGATTAAGGGCAGGTGAAATGATGGACATCTCAGATGATGCCTCTGGGCAGAGACCCAAGTATCTCCAGGGTTAGGAGAAACAGCTCTCTTCATAACAAGGACTTCTTCCTGTTTGAGATTTCACACTCCTGCTAGGATTAATCAGCAACACCTCCAAATACATGGTTAATGATGACAAAGGATTCATTTCATTGGACATTATGCTAAGCCTTTCAACACAGTTACCTCTTTTTACTGAACTTGTTTTAAAAAAAAAACCTAGTCTTGAGTAATCAATAAACATGAATTTAATTCCATCAAAAACTGAGACCTTCAGCAATATAATATAATGAACATAACGTGCCTCCGAATTCAAACTCCCTGAGGTATCAATCTTGTCTTTCATGCCTTTTTCTTTCCACTGAAAGCCAGTAATCATATGCCTAAAATCAGCCACGTGGCTGTTAAGATTCAGGTCCAGACAACTGAGCACATTTCTGACCTCTCTTTACTAAGCCCTACCCTGTTTGTCTAGTCAAAACTCCTTTGACACTTTTAAATGTTTCCTTTATAATAACTGAACTTGATCTTAATATGTTAACCCTTTAAAAACCATTGTTAACCCCCACCCCGGTTTCTGATTGTGACTTAAATAAGATCTTTTGTTTTCACAACAGAAGGGTATGTTCATATAAAAATAATGATAATTTCCCTTGAGACCAACTAAAAATATCAGGGAGATAAACGTATCATGCTTTCCTATTACCTGAGCCACACACATGAATTAAGCACAATTAGGCCACTGCCAGAAAACAGTGTCCACCCGT